AATAAAGCAGAATATTGAAGAATATTCAATTAATCAAAAATTAGCAATAGAAGGACAGAAAAACAAGAAATGGAAAATACTAAGATTGAGTTGAATATCTAAAATTATATAAAAATGGATTTTAGAGAATTGGTGGGACAGGAGATACAAATGGAAAATAAACAGCAAAATAGTTGACTTAAACCAAACCATTTCAATAATTACATTACAAGCAAATGAACAAACAATCCAATCCAAAGGCAGAGGCCATCAAACCAGGATAAGGACTTGCTGCCTGAAGTCCTTTTTAAATTTAAAGACAAAAACAAATTGAAAATTAATGAATTAAAAAGTTTACCATGCAAAGTAAGCTTAAGAAGGCTCTTGTAGCTATATTAAGATCTCACAACATAGATTTTCAAGATTTCATAATAATACTAGAAGCCGTTCATCAGAAAGACACATACTTAAATAAACACACAATTAGAAACAGCTTTATATGGAGTGGAATGGTGGTTCCCAGAGGCTGGGGAGAGGCGGGAGTAGGGAAGTACTCATTCAAGGGTACAAAGCAGGGCCCGTATAATGCATCCCACAAGGGTACCAGTTCGAGTCCTGGCTGCTCCACTTCTGATCCAGCTCCCTGCTGATGTGCCTGGGAAAGCAGCAGAAGATATCCTTACTACTTGGACCCCTGCACCCATGTGGGTGACCTGGATGAAGCTCCTGGCTCCAGGCTTTGGCCTGATCCAACCCTAGCTGTTGTGGCCATTTGAGGAGTGAATCAGTAGATGGAAGATCCCCCTGTCTCCCTATTTCTCCCTTTCTCTAACTCTGCCTTTCAAATAAATAAATAAATAAATAAATATTTTTTAAAAAAAGGTACAAAGCTTCAGAAAGACAAGAGAAATAAGTGTTTGAGATCTATCACACAGCCTAATGACTGCAGCAAATAACAATGTATATCTCAAAAATAGCTATGAGAAATTTCAAATGTTTCAGTACAAGAAAGGGTAAGTGTACAGGTGGATGGATATATTACCTTGAGCTAATCATTCACAATATATATATATCAAAACATCACATGTATCCCATAAATAATTTAAAATAATATATAATGATAAAAAGCTTTAGGGGAAAACAAAGCTTCAAGTTCATAACACAAAACTTCAAAGAACTAAAGAAAATTCATCACGTTATGGTGTTAAAAAAAATCTATGTATCTGTCAGATCAAGTAGACTATGACGCCCCTCATCAAAAAACAAAATGAAAAAACCCTCCAAACAACCAAAGCAGGAAGGACCCACAGCATCTTAACTTCACCATCAGCCAACTCGACGTCAGCTGACTTTCAGAACACCATGCCTGACAACTGCAAATTCAAGTCACAGGGATGTTCACCGAGACAGACCTAGTAAGTAAGAGGCAGAACATGCATAGCGCAGGGGCCTATGTCGTGACACAGCAGGCAAAGCTGCCACCTACAATGCTGGCATCCCACATGGGTGCCAGTTCCTGTCCCAGCTGTTCTACTTCCGATCCAACTCCCTGTTGATGGCCTGGGAAAAGCAGTGGAAGATGGCCCAAGTTCTTGGGCCCCTGCCACCCACATGGGAGACCTGGATGAAACTGCTAACCCCAGTTTCAGCCTGGCCTAGCCATGGCAGTTGCAGCCAATCTGGGGAGTGAACCAGTGGATGGAAGGATGGAAGACCTCTCTCTCTCTCTCTTTCTGGGGAGTGACCCAGTGGATGGAAGATCACCCCCGCCCCCATTCTGCTTGTCTCTCTGTAACTCTCTGAAATAAATGAAAAAGAAATAAGAAAATATATTGATATTTCCTCGTACATGCAGAAGGAAATTCTGGAAGAATATGTAAGAAACTAATTACCTATGTGTACATTTAGTGAGTGGGAAGGTGGAGAGTGGAAAATGGGGTAGCAGGAACATTTTACTATTCTGTAACATTTTTCCAAACATGACATGAATTATTTATTCAAAATGTTAAACCAAGTGAGTACAGTGACATATTAACAACTTGACCAAAATATGTCAAGGATCTTAGAACAAATTCTGAGGAATTTTATCAGAATTTTTTTAAAGGAAATGATCAGGGGTGCACACCAAGATTTAGCTACAAAAGGCTTCATGAAGGCACTTAAAAACTGTCTAAGTACAGTTATTCATTAATAAGAGTAATTAAACTGTGGCATATCCGTGGACAGAATGTTTTGCATGTTTTAAAAAATATTTCTTTATTTGAAAGAGTTACAGACAGAGGTAGGGAGAGAGAGAGGTCTTCCACCCACCAGTTCACTCCCCAGATGGCTGCAAGGGCCAGAGCTGAGCCAGGAGCTTCCTCCCATATCAGTGCAGGGGCCAACAGCTGGGCCATCTTCTGCTGCTTTCCCAGGCACAACAGCAGGGAGCTGGCTCGGAAGTGGCGCAGCCGGGACCTGAGCTGGCGTCCGTATGGGATGCCCGGGCTGCAGACTGGGGCTTTGACCTGCTGTGCCACATTGGCGGCATGTTTTGTGTCTGTTAGAAAGGCACTGTGGGGTACTTCATGACCAGTGCGGGAGCCCACCGATGGTGAGAAATGCCCAGCCGTAGGGCTGAGGATCCCCGAGGCTAGTTTGGGGCTGCAGAAGCGGAGGGGAGTTTGATGTTCTCTTCTAGATTTCCTAAAACATGTTTATCAACAGAAGAATGTAAAATTCATCGTTTGAAAGAACAGAAGGAAGTAAAGAAAATACACCATTTTCCAGTAAACCTTTTCTATCCCACGGGGCGGTCTCACCACGGCCGGGGTCCCTCTGTCCGCAGGTGCACCGCTGCCACGGCCGCCTCCCGCCTCGGGCCTCTCTGACCGCGGCCGTCTCTCGGGAAGCCCCGACGGCGCCCCGGCCGGAACAGTGTCACACCGTCGCGCACCGATTCTCTCTGGTGACTGAACTTTTCTTCGTATCTCACTTTCTCCCGAGCTGTCAGAGCCATCGCTAAGGGGCTTACATCTTCTTCCAGGCTGCGAGAAGCAAACAGCGTCACGGGTCTGGAAAACACGACCGCTCACCCTCCTGACGGCAATGGTGCCACGCTGCGGCGCGAGCTTCTATAGCCCAGGGAGATGGCAGCTGAGCAGTGGACAGAACAGGAAATCTACAAGCCAGAGCTCCACGTCAACACTCCCCACCATCCCCTCTGCCGCTGAGGCCCCAGCCCCAACACGGCGCGCCACCGCTCTGAAAACTGGCAGAGGCGTCTGCACCGTGCCTTAACGAAAAGCACTTCAGGTTTTAAAAACTCACTTTTAGCCCAAAAACGTCCTCTGGAACATAGCGCTTTATGAAAACTGCCGCCACAGAACACTCTCCACAGTCAACTGGAGTGTGAAATGCCTGTCGGAGTCTGAAGAACAGGCGCACGTACCTTTGTGGCTCTCAGTTTTACAGACGTGCTTTCACTTGCTTCATTTGCAGAAGTGCTCAAGCTGTAGGAAAGAACAAGCCATCAGTATCTTGCACACATTCGCACATGGTTCTACGAGTGCTCCCCCGACACGAGCACCGCTCAGTTTACTCTGGGGCTAGCCAGTTTGTCACGGGCAGGCCGGTCGCCTTCCTAGTTTCATTGGCCGCCTCCCAGACCCAGCCACATTGGTTTGTCCCAGGCGGGCAGACGGCAGCGCTCCAGGGCTGCTGCAGTTTGGTCATGTCCGAGAACTGCGCCTTCCTCCAGGTTACCAGGGCCGTCCTCTGTACCAAAAGCTAATCCACTAGACTCAACTCTGGTGATCAAACAGGGAATCTCCTCTTTCGCCCTAAAAGTAACCCTGACTTCTGATGGAAGGTGAGAATTTTCATCTTTTCATTCAATACAATCCATCAAACACGTAACATCAACCACAAATGCACTCACTTTAAAACTGAGGCCTCAGGTGGGCGTTTAGGCTAATGATGACTATGCCCAAATTCCACACCTGAGGACCTGGGTTTCATACCTGGTTTCTGAGAAATGCTGTTGGCCTCTCTGTAGTGGGTGCGTCCCTGCTGCCCCAACTTCCTTTTCTGTTTACCTGCATTACTTACCCAAATGATGTCTCTTGTTGGGACTTGACATGACACCAAAACCAAGGTTACCGAGAACAGTCTCTGGTTAAATGCAAAGAACGCTCGTGCTCAGGCCCCGCCTCACGTGCTTCTCAGCTGCATT